GGCGATGGACCGCCTGTCTGTGTATAGATGTGGTAATACCACCGGGATTCACTGTGGGGATAGCGTTCAATACGATTGCGTTACAAGGGTGACGCCCCTCTGGATCTCCTGCAGCAGTCGCGGCAGCAGCAGCAGCTTTCCACCAGTCCAGCGCCGTCATCAGCATCATCGACTTTTCGAAGAAGCGCTAGCGCGGCCACTAAACTGCAAGCGGTGTCCATTTTATTGCCTGCTAACGGTCCCACTCGTAGGTTAGGTAGTCTAGTAGCATTAGGTAGGTCCCTACACTTCCCTAAACTATGAAAAGTACGAACGCTGTTGGTGGTTTGCTCAGATGGATCTTGAAGCTATTAGATTCAACAATTTTTTTTTTCTTTTGTTTCAGTGATTTTGCTCAGCTGGCTCTCCACAGAACTTCGTCCGATGGGTCGATCACTATTTCGAACATGGGCAACGAAGGGACTACGTACTAATGAACGCGGCGGTGGCACCCAGCGGGTTCCCTGACTAATGCTTCTGCCCTGTCAGTCTTCCAGTTTCAAGTGAGAGAGTGTTTCATGGGCGGACCGGCGGGGAAAGGAATGGGTTCAGCAACTGCAGTAACTAACTATGGGAAGGGCAGATGAGTGATGAGTGATGACTGATGGGCGGATCGGGGGCAAATGAAGTTAGTCATCTATGAGTGTATGAGTGTATGAATCATCCCGAGAGGTCGAGTCACGGTTACGGTATGCGGTAATTCACCTGTAATGTATGTATCTTACCACTAGAAACGAGCTCCCACCCCTTTGGCCGCCAGTTGCCAAACTCCTTGGCCTGCAGTTGATTCACCTTACTGTCTCATCTTTCTTTTTACCTACTAACTAACTAACTAACTGTCCCTCGCTCACTCTCCGTCTCGGTCTTTCTCCCTTTCCCCTCTCTCTTCCCTTAGGTCTCTGGTGGTGCATGTTGTGCTACTTATTATTATTAACTTACTAGCCATCTCCCTTTTCTCCCTTCCCAGCTTCGTTCATTCTTTTTACTTCTATCTACTATTGTATTTGCTTGCCTTGAACCGGCGGACAAATCCATACTCCACTTCGAAACTACTCCTCCCACTGCAATAATAATTACTTACTTACTGCCGAGTGATTGTTACGTCCCGCCACCTTTCCCGAATCCGTCACTGTTCCGCAGCCAAAGCGGGCCAACATCCGAGGGGGAAAGAGTGGAAACCGCTGCTCTTCTTGTCTTGGACTCTTTCTGTGAACCCGCCCAAAACCGTCCTTTCTAGTCTAAACCATCATCCTTCTTCCATCAACTTCTTCTTCTTCATGCTCGGTTCGTCCGAAGCGACGCATAGTCCTCTTCCCTCTCTTCATCACTCTCCCTCCGTTGTTGGGGATCACGATCGCGCCTCTACTCGGGATTCCACCCCCGTTACCACTCCCCTCGGGTTTGGCCCATCGCTGCGCAGACCGGATAAGGAAAAGGTCTCGGATCTGCCCTGGGCTGAAGACTCCCTCGACTTCGACTTCAGCGACGTTCATTCACCGTATTTTGACGCTCGAAAATTGCACCCTCCTTTCCACCAAGACCTCGACTTTCCTCTTTTCCCTTCATCACCTCCTCCGACCACATTCACCACACCGCCCACCACCACCACCATGACCGGTGCCGCTCCCATCGATATCGCCACCCGCCAGAGCTCTGTCTCCCCTCCGGGACAGCAGGCTTCGAACCTTACCTCAGCTTTACAACGAGCGAACAATGTAGACCGAACACCTAGCTTCTCCCATGCGAATGGCGTCGGACTCAGCGTCTTCAAGGCCCCCCCTCCTCGCAAGGACTCGATCGGAGCAGCTACCGCACAATGGGGCAACGGAACGAAACCGATCTCAATGTCTGGATCTAATCGTGATAACCCCCGGCGGGAGTCATTAGCAGGAAGCTTAGTTGGTGGAATGAGCTGGGGTGGAGTGTCTGTTGGAAGCTGGATTCGTGATGAGTGCGTGCCACCTTATTTTTTTTCCGTAACCCCCTCAATCAGGCTGATATCATATATCCCTTTGCTTGCGCCCGAACACCGGGTAAAATTCGGGCTTAACAAGTAACTTCTGATGACGGCGATGCTGACGCTCGATGACCTAGTATCATTATGACCGGCACGTCTCCGTTCACTTTTCAGTCGCCCTCGTTCCATTCTTCTTCATACTTGCCGAAACTGGAAGCGAACTTCATGCGCGATTTCTCCTGCTGCGGGGTGACACTCCCGACACTCCACGATCTATTACAGCATTATGAAGAAGCCCACGCCACCAAATCACCCCACCAAGGCCATCGCCCCAGTCAAGGGGATGGCAGAGCAGCTATGGCTGCGGCTGTGATGGCGCAACAGCAAAACCAACAGATTCCCAACCAAGCTCGCGGGCTACAACCGGATCGAACCATGGATATGCAGCGAAAATTGAACCAGACGCCACAGATTCCGCAGCATTCCGATCTGGACACAATCGATGATATGGAGCTGGACGATACAATCGGCGACGGAAGTGATGCCGCCTCACAACTGTTCTCCCCTCAGGTGCGCGATGGAGGCCAAGGAGGATTCGGAAATGGCAACCAAAGAGTCCCGCATCTGAACCTGTCCATGCTTCCCGGTCACCAGGGCTTCAAGGGCTCACAGCCTGGAACGCCTGTCGCTTCCGGACGACCCCTTTCGCTGCAGAACAACCCTACCGTTTCGTCTGTCAATACACCTACTTTGATGGCAAACCCGCTTCAGAACTCGCAGTTCCGAACTACCCCCGATTCTTCCGCTCCCGGCACGCCGGCTGAACTCGACGAGAGTATGATTGGTGGCTTTGGCGATTTGAATATGCAGAACCCTATGATGCAAGGTCAACCGCAATTTGGCCGGTTCACTGGTAACAGCGACATGGTCGATCTGTGCATTGACGAGCCAGCTAAGCGGCTATTTAGCCCTACTGGTGGTCTCAACACTCCCAATGCTCATTTTAAGCTCAGCGGTGCTCAGTACGGTCCGAATAGCGAGATTGCTCGGCGGATTCGTGAGCAGCAACTGCTGGCAGGTGTGCCTGATACCACCGCTCTTCTGCCTAATGAGGAGCCCAAGCCTTTCCGATGTCCTGTTATTGGCTGTGAGAAGGCATACAAGAATCAGAACGGCCTGAAATACCACAAAGCAGTATGTCTTTTCTCATCTCTACTCATCCTTTTCAGGCTCATAGGCTAACTTGACTCTCCTCAGCACGGCCACAACAACCAGCAGTTACATGACAATGCGGATGGAACCTTCTCAATCGTCAATCCTGAGACCTCGACTCCTTACCCCGGTACCCTTGGCATGGAGAAAGAGAAGCCCTATCGCTGTGAGGTTTGTGGCAAGCGCTACAAGAACCTCAATGGCTTGAAGTATCACAAATCGCATTCCCCGCCTTGCAACCCTGACTTCCAGCTTGCTGCAGGTCGTAATCTGGCGTTCGGCGGGGGTGTCATGCAGGGGCAAAATATCAACGTTGCTGGGGCTGGCCTACCTGGCATCGGTGAGGAGGGCTTGCTCTGAGACGATAGCTGCGCTGCCTTCAGTCCCGCTCAACAACCAAAAAGCAAAAAAGCAATACGAAGATAGCGACGTGTTCTCTTTTGAAATCTCATTATTCCCCCATTAATTTCGACTCGACGAATTTTGTTTTATGGCCGTCGTCGCGCGCGGAAAGTACGATTTAATGACCGGTATGGTGGCTTGGAGTTAATGGTATGAAACGTCTCACGTCTGTCAATAAGTCAGCCGCGGTTTGGGAGACGACCGTGCTTTGATCTAGTCTTAGATCAGTCTCAAAATATTTTCCTTCCTTTTGAAAGACATTCCTGGAAAGAATTATCTCTCTCCCCCTTCTTATCCCAATGACTCTTGTCAGCCGGTTTGTGAATCGGTATGAAATGTTTTCCTTCTCGGTCTTGATTGTCTTGCTGTACGGAGTTTGTGTTGCTTCTTTTCAATGGGTCTGCTTTGATTGCTTGGGGTCCAAAAGAAAAACATGCAGAACTTTGGTTGTTTCTTATTTATCTCCTCTTCTTTTTTTGCTTTCTCTCTTTTTCGTTCAGATCCACGCTACATTCCCCTTGTTGCTTATATCGTTATGCGGTCCATTCTTCTGGGTTATACTATAAATGAGAAAGAACTGGCAAGACAAAATTCCATTCTTATATAAACCTTCTCCGTCTTCCATCCCCAATATAATGAAAAGATGATACCAGAGACCGGACTTCTCGTTCTAGAGGAGAGACATAACAGTCGAGTAGGAGGGACGGAGATAAGTTAGCCGTAGTAGGAGTTGTTTGACTGAACCTGTATGAGAGGTCTATCTTTTTCTAGGCACTCCTTTCCCCCCTCCAACTTGTAAACATTCATCGATACATCATCGAGGCATCCGAGAAGGAAAAGCAAGGAAGAAGGCTAACCTAGGCGAATCCATAGACGCAACCCCCCCCCCCCCCCCTCGGCCACCACCTCCAGCGAACCACTCAGAACTATTCAATAGTCACATTGATGAAATGCTTGCTACAACTACCTACTAAGGGCTGTACGGTCTACTGCTGCTTTTGCAAGAGCAGCATGCTGTTAGGGTTTCCCAGTCACTTGAGTAAACTACTGTCCTGAGCAGTATCGCTAAGTAGTTACGCTCCGCGCGAGTCAGCAGCCAGCGGTCAGCATCTCAGCACTCACCAACTAATAGTTGCCATCACCGCCACCGCCACCAGAAGAAAAGGATACCCGACTTTGCCTGTCTCTTTGTGAACTGCATGTACCTCTTACGGGGCTGAGGGCTGTCACACAACAAGTTGGATAGACGTTGGCCGTGGCCACTTTTGGCGGCATGCACGCAGTCGTAACCCGGCCTTCTAGTTAATTACTTAGATCTTTGGTGGGGTTGCTACGTTGGGGCACCGATGCGCAGCAATTTATTAAAAGAGATATACATACGAGATAGGAACGTCATATTCATTCGACTTGAGGTAAACTAGTACATGATCCCGATGAGAAACAAGCATGGAAGCAAAGGGGGAAGAAGTGAAACGAAAAGAGCAGAAGAGACTGCCGTCCACCTGAACAAGCGCCACGATACATCCAAAGTGGAACGAAGGAAAGAAAGAAACTAAGAAAAATTGACACCCGAGATGGAGGGAATCCATCCATCCCTTCCAGTAGTAGAGTAGTATGTAGTAAGGTAGTTACGTATGTCATGGGAAAGGTCAATTTGTACTGACCAACTCCCCGAATGTGTGGAATGGGCTGATTCTTCATCATAAATTGGTGTCATAACTGGTTTTCTACATCAAAGATGGCAGGAGAAATAGGCGAAGCACCGGGGAATTAGGAAAGAGAAACAGGAGACGCATGAGCAGGACATGTTCTTGAGCTTGGCGATCTGATTCGTAACTAGGGCCTACCATTCGAATTCGCCTTGGCCTTTGTGGAAGACATATCTAAAACTAGTTAGCCGAGATCAACCCTCCCGATGAGACCGATTACTCACTCTTTGCCTCCAGTGGTCAGGATGCCGTCCTTCAGCGTACACTTCCACTTGTTCTTCACCCTTTGTACCTTGTCGTAGGTGCAAAGCATGACTTGACCCATAGACTCGTCGCCGTCGTGCTCGTCAGCAACAAGATCATCCGGGTCATCGAGATCAGAATTAATGGCATCTTCGTCATCTTCGTCTCTTTCATCATCACCACCTGGACCATCGAATTGGGCTTTGGGAACAGCCGAAGGTTGCGCTCCAGTTCCATCTACTGAATTAAGCGAAAGGCCACGTGCTGAAGATGTTTGTCGCTCTTCCAAAGGTAGCATAAGGCCTCCACCCTCAAACTGGAGCATGCGCTGTTTCAGATGCTCCCGCAAGAGACGGTCGCCCTCTCCGTTCTGACGTTGCGCGGCTTCACGCCGTCGAGCGACCTCTGCCTTCCACTCAGAGAGTGCATCTCCAGCACCATCGGTTTGAGCGTTCCCCAAGGAAGGACGAGGGGCAGGTGAGTAGCCAGGCTCCTGCTTGATCTGAGGCGCCTGGCCATTCGGCAAATGCTGCATGTTTGGTGGGCGTGGCTGACCTGGAATGCCCATCGCTGGCTGCGACTGGGCTTGCAGCTGACTAACCGAAGTGGCAGCTGCGTCTCCATAGCGCTGACGGAGCATGTCGGCGGCCCGTTGTTGAGCAGACTGGGGGGCTGATCCACTGGGTGGCATCATCATGTTGCCGTTATTGTTCACGGGCATCATCCCCGGCTGATTGTTGACCCCAGGCTCCGTCTTAATCGGCGGCAGGTGGCCCATGGGGCGAGGCGGGGCACCTACCGGGGCCGGAGCTTGCATGGGGGGAGCCGTGGTGGGCATGGACTGAGGAATGGGTTGTTGCGGAGGAGGAACATGTTGCTGTGGTAGATGAGGAGACGGAGCAGGACGAGGAGCGTTGGAAGGGACGGTGGCAGTGGGAGGGAGTATTTGTTGCTGGTTTTGGCTGGGAGGGGCTTGTTGCGGTGGTGGGGGATCCCAAGGGAAATGAGCGACGCCCAACGAAGATAGCTTCTTCTGCCAGCTCTGCGATAGAAAATGTCAGTGGATTGCGAATAAAAAAATCCAGAAATAATGACAATTTTGACCGAGACAGACTCCCAGCAAGGACAGCGCAGTAAGAATTAAAGAAGAGTGGTGAGGGGAGGTTCGGGGTAAGAGGGAAGGAATGAGAGGGAGAGGGAGTAAGTAGAAGGTGAAGGTGAAGGTGGGCTTGGCAGACTAGAGCGACGGGCGGGTAAAAGCGGCGCGGTATAAAAAGAGACTCAAAAGCCAGCAGTTCCCCCCAGCCGCGCATCCACTGCCCTTTCCCGCACCTCCTCTCGGGCCCCGCTTGGGAACCTCATCACACATAACACCCCCCCCCCCACCCCCTTCTGACACTGAGCAATCCATCCCCATTTTCCGTGCTGTTCATCCAAAGAGAAATCATAAACTGGAATTATCACTCACTTTGCGCAAATCTAGAAGCGTCTGTTGATCCACTCCGCTTTCTTCAAAGTCCACCTGAGAGCCATCGCAAACCTCCTGGATGACACGATCGAACACCGTGCCCTGTTGGCAGGTATCAGCCAACGACCTTCAAAGGAAAGGAACATATCTTTGTGAAAGTGTTGAGGCCGTGAGACTATTCAATGGCATGCAAGCATAGCCACCATACTCGACGAAGCTCACAAGCCAGGTAGGGATAGATCGGATGGATACTCACCACCTGCTGGTTTGACATGGTCGCCGGGGCAGGACCTCGCAGAGGATCCTTGTCTGGGTTTAGGTAAAACGGAGAAGGAGTAGGAAGAGAATGAAGAATTGCTAAAGAGACGGTGGAACACGAGAAGTGGGATTCTAGAATATCACGACGGTAAGGCGTGGGTGAGAGAGTCGGCTTATCTGAGGTGAAGCGTCGCAGTCGCAGGCGTCGTTGGTAGTTTGCCAAGGGCTCATGCGACAGTCGTAACTCCAACGCCCGCTACAGTAACACGTCCTCACCGAGGTTGGCCTATCTTGTGAGAGTACCGTTTGCCTTGTCAGAACCAGTAGAATGGTAGAAAAGCAAAGATGGAGTAGGAGCTTGAGTCAAGGGCCAGGCGGTGACAAGAAAGGTCAATGTGCCAGAGGGATGTGGTTGAGGTGAAAGTCGCTCTCCCCGGGCGAAATCCGCCTCTCTTCCCGCCTGCTTAGTCACCACTCCGCTAGTCCCGTCAAGGGTTATCCGGGGGAGTCCTTAAGTTGAGTTACCATTTCTTAGCAATCATCGCCACTGCATTCTTTTCAAGCAAACTGTTTTTTCACTAAGAGACACTAAGAATAATACATCTGTAGATAACTTCTAGTATACCTTAGGTAACTTCGTTGTATATCTAAACCACTCATTCTGGCAATCTCTTTCTACAGGGTCCTTCTCATCCTAATCGATGAATTAATGCCGAGGAAATCCTAGCTAGCCTCTAGATAACTATTGGACTAGGTACCTACGGAGAACTAAGGTAAGGTAAGTCTGGCCAAAGAGGAGGCAGTCTCTTCTCCGTACAGAACTCACGCAAGCTACCTTAGTACTGTACCTAGCCTTCTAATATTAAGGTACTCGTGTAAACTGCTCCGCGGGGGCCTTTCCCGTATTGGGCAAGGTAGAGGAACCGCCGCGGGTTGCGGAGCCGCCAGCCGTATTGGGACAGCTCTCTCGTCCCTCCACTCTCCATCTACTAAGTCTTGATCTTTAGCGCAACGCGTCCAGTCTCAGATTCCCTGGCAGGGACACGCTATACTTGATATGTATGATACGGCAACGGGACTATTTACATGATGTCTACCATGAAACGAAAACATGATGCTGTGCCCCATACTATGGTGCAGCGATTGACTCCACAGCCACGGCTATCATGCCAGAATTGTCGTCAAAAGAAATGGCGATGTGATCGCAAACACCCTTGCAACAACTGCAAGCTACGCAAGGTCTACTGCCAGTTTGACTCCGGACCAGATCCTCAAGATCTTCCGACTTACTCAGCAAGACATGGTACAGCTAGCGATTCACCTGCTGGCCCCGTGATCTCGCCGGTATCTGTATCCCAAACAGAAGGCGATACCGCACCAAGCCTCTACCCCAACAACGATGGATCCTCTGGCCTAGTGGATCGAATACGTAAGCTAGAAGAGGCGGTCTTTGGCAAAGGTTCGACCACACATGAAACGAATGTGAGTGATCAAAGCGCATCATTGTCTTCCGTACTTACTCCGGCACATAAACAGAGACCAGCTCCAATCGACCTAGGCTCCAGAACCTCTGGCTTTAGGGCCGATAATGTATGTACAGGTCATCAGATACTCCACAGCCCACACAGCTAGCTGAAATGTCGTTGGACACAGCATGAAAGAGGTGGAGGTGGCACTCCTTTCGCCAAGCTATCTTCTTCAGCAGTACGAGAGCAGATTGTCGAATTCGACGACTGCATGCAAGACCCGAGGCGCATCTTCGATTGTCTTCCCCCGGTGGAGCAAGCACGACAACTTTTCGACCAATTCGTACGAGCTATTCAACCGACTCTTGGTGTTCTCCATATACCGTCTGTGCGGGTTTTGATGGAGGAGACCTACCGGGATGTATCTGAGGGCAAGGAACCGAACTTTACCGTGGTCATTCTACTCTTGAGCATATATGCCGGCAGCACCCTTGTTGTGACATCCGAGCTCCTAGAAAGTCTCAAAGCAACAGAGAAAGAGGCTAGGATTGCCTTCGCCACTTTCACGCGCCTTGCTATGACTATGCTAGATTATCCTTCGCGACCCGTAGTCCCGTCAACTGTGGCTCTTCTCGCCATAACGACCCTATGTCACGTTCTGACACACGCAGACGGATTCTCCGAGAAGATGCAGGCTCTCCGTATGCGCGCAATCTTCATGGCACGGTCAATGCAGATTCATCTTCTGGACTCTCCAAAAGGTCAGGAAGAGAGGAAGCGCACAGGGTACGAAATCGTTGAGATCGAGGTCCAGAGACGGATATGGTGGCATATTGTGTCATCCGACTGGTCAAGTCTATCATAGCTCATACTCAAACCTGCTGGCACTAACAGTTGTACAGGATAGTATCACTTTCTCAAGGGCCACAAGAGGGCTCATACCTACTACACCCAAAACACATGAGGGTTAATCTTCCAAGTAATGTTGATGACGAGTCACTAGCGACCAGTGAGCCAGACTGCGGGTTGCCCCTTACCACTCCAACATCCATGTCCATCTTCATCTTGCGTGTTCAGTTTGCCGAGATCTGCCGGCAGATTGTTGACGCCTTCTCCTCTATGTTCCTCGGAGAAAACGATCTGCCCGAATACGATATAGTCCTTGATTTAGACCGCAAACTGCACAATGTCCTCGATTCCATGCCGAATTTCCTTCGGCTGGACCCGGAACATGTCCAGCAGAGCCGTGAGATCATCACGGAGCGACCATACCTCGCCTGGCAGCGCATTGTCGGCCACTTAGGCATCTACACCCGCATCTGCCGCCTCCACCGTCCATATCATCGTGAAGCCTCAGTAAACCCTCGATTTGCGTATTCTCGACAGGCGTGTCTCCACTTCGCTCAGCGGATCCTTGATCTCCGCCGCACAATGGACGAAGCCAGCTCTACCGTCGGCATGAAGCCCACCAATTATTGGATGGTCATGCAACATGTATTCTTCGCCGCAATGGTTCTAGCCTCGGACGTGTCAATGAACCCGGGCAGTCCCGGTGCGGACCGCAGGAAGCAGGACGTTTTAATAGCGTGCAAGATGCTAGAGCAATCGCAGCGCTTGTCAACGAGCCTGACCGAGGCGATCCGAAGGAATACTCAGACCCTAATGTCGATTCTCCAGAGCACGCAAAAGGAGCAACAACAGCCCCCGAGAGCCAATCCGGGTGCGACGTCTCATGCTTTGCCGACATCTCAAGGAGGTGCATTCAGTACATCTCCTAGTCAATTCTCACACGGAGAGGCGACTAGGAGGGTAAGCGCTGCTGAAGCAGATGTGCAGCAACTCCACTTTTCCGATAATGCTCCTACTGCGGGGAACAATCACATGGCGTGGGACGCCACTTCTACTCAACCCGCTGGCGAGGAAAGCTGGGGTCAGTTGTGGTCTGATCTGTTCGCTGCAGCGCCAGAGATTGATGATATACAATGGGATCTCTTGTTGAACGACTGGGACTTGGCTATCGATACAGGATTCTGAGACGAGTAGGGTTATCTTATATGACGCAGTACTCGTAGCCTTCAGAGTTAAGTATGGCGGGAGCAGGTGCGAGGACCTAGGAAATGGTTGTACGTTTCCAACCTATTGGGGATCCGGTGTTGAACATTACCTACTGGTAGTACATCGACTCCAATCAATGAACCTCAGGTCTTATGGTGCGCTAGGAATAGCTTCAAGATCACCACTTCGGGAATCTTCTTTCCACTGGTATTCACACACCTACCGCTCTCATTTTTTTTTTAGTTATGTATTCTGCGTCAGTGCATAGTACAGTGCACCATGCGAGCGAGGTAGTCCTCGTGGCCGTGGCAGCCCTCACGGCCCTCGCAGCTCTGGTTGATAAAGAAACGTATGGATCTTGTGGTGGAGATACGTCGGCGTGGCAATCTCGGACATCTCGGTAATCACAAAAAGTAATTCAAATTTGACCGTTTAGGAAGAATGAACACGTAAACGGGCTTGTCCCACCTGTACAAGAATGCATCTGGCAAGCATATAAGTTATTATTTCCCTTGGGAAGATGAGGATGGCACCTGGCACAACAATTCTCTCCCCATATGTCATGACCAAAACACTGTGCACCCAGCATGGATGGTTTCGAGCTGGATCTTTTACATAAGTGCTTGTGTGTATCGTGCCTGCCTTCGACGCAGCTGCCGACTTCATCATTGAAAAGTGGGTGTCGTTTATCGGGTTGAGCAGAGATACGGGCCGCCAGCACGGTGCAAAGACTCGAAGAACCCCGGTGCGTCGGCTTTCGAGTTTGTTTCGAAAATGGACCTTGAGATATCAGAGGGATTATAGCTGAGAGCATGCTCACTTGTGCGAGCAAAAATATCCGAGGTGGAAGATGTCGACATCCTGTAAAGGTGCAAGACAAAAGACAGTGATCAATGATCTACATGTACATAGTTAGAACGGCAGTAGAAGACATCATGGATCCGTTTGGGGATACCTACGGTGGTCTAAGTCAACTGTCGGCCACTGCAGCCCAGTGTGAGTCATTCGCTATATCATTCCTATATCATCATCATCATTCCTATCTCATTATTCGGTGATTCGCAGTAGACATCCCCTCTCCCAGAGAAAGGCTTCGGTATGATGACACAACCCACCAGTGAAGGATTATTACAGGCCTCGATATTCTTGATTTTGGGTTTCTTGGGCTTGTTTCTGCCGTTATTCGCCGCTACCTTAGGTATTTGATCTTCGAGGTCTTGCTCGCAAGAATCACCTCGCTTACAAGGGCTGCCACCGCCATGAGAACTCCCCTTCCCACAGAACGTTAAACCGAAACAGCCTCAATGACACTATCCTTCAAGCTTGCCGTATAAGTCCGGATACTCGTCGCCTTAACCCGGCACTCTGCAGCAACTCGTCCGCTTCCGCGCCGCCAACGTCGTCATCATGAGGATATCCAGCTGCGCAGCCTGCCAATGCACGCCGGCATTTGGAAGCACCGTGTCGTCAACCAAGATGATCGAGTCCTCCGCCATCGCCTCGATCGTGTTCTGGAGGATGATCCGCGCCTTGTCATCCGGCCAATCGTGGAAGATGTTCCCGGAGGAATAGAATTTCGCCCCTAAACCGTCATCAAGAGATTAGCTTTGGTCTGTCCTTCTCTCGTCCTTCGAAAGGAGGACGAGAAGGGAGAAAACCTACCTTAAATACCCTGCGGCTGGAAGAGATCCTGCTCCATCGTCTCCACCCCCGCATGCTGGATGGCATGCTGCAGCGTCGGCGCCAGATCCTGGACGACGACGCGCCCTGCGAGATCGGGGTAGCGGTTCCGGAACGCGATGGCCTGCTGCCCGAAGCAGCCTCCTACGTCGACGAAGAGCACGCGCTCCGGGTGCAGGGCGGTGGCGTGCTCGCGGACGGGGTAGGCATCGAGGAAGGTGGGCATTCCAGCACAGTTGGTCGTGAGGTATTCCTGGAATAAAGCCATCTTTTCGGGCTGGGTGGGTAGCCAGAAGAAGGCAGGTTGGATGGTGTTGAAGGCCCGTTTTGGAGGGCGGTGTTAGCGCTGTCTTTCGGATCAACGTAGTTGGTTTCCTTGAGGAAGCTTGGGAGGGATTGAATGGCTGGGTTCATTGTGTCGAAACTAGCCATTTCCATTAGTATAGTTGCGTGGTTGTGTACAGTACGTCTGTGCAAGGCAAGGTGATCAACTGACTAGTGGCAGATGGCGGCTTGGAAGCCTGACGGGGCAATGGTGGAGGAGATGTTGGTGGAGGTGAAGGTGTCCTTGTCGGCCTCTTTGATGGCGCCGAATGACGCGAGGTAACGAAGCATGCGGCCTGATTCCATGGTTAATGGATCTCTATTCTTCACATTCGTATCTCACGGCATCAGCTGGGCTCACCCAGGAAGATCGGATCTGCCCCAGTTTTGTCGCTCAGCTCACCGACAGCGAGAGGCTTTTCGCTCTCCGCAAGGGAGCTGAATAGACTGAGGTCGATTTCGACCCGCAAGGCTGCCATTTGTAGGCTCTATCATATCATCCAGAGATTGATCAGTAAGTCTGATGGAAAGAGGGACACCACTTGATATGCTATACAACGCTGAACCGTATCGTCCGGCTTCTCGATCGAGTTGCGCAACCTCTGCAGCGAGTCCAGGACATCCTTGCGTTGCTCCTCGTCGCCGCTCTGGGCGAGCGAACGGACTTGCTGGAAGAGGGCTTCCATGGCTGGATTCTCAAATATTGAGCGATACAGTAGATATATGATTGAAAGTTGAGAGAACTGAGCCCAGAAGACGCCCTGCGGTCTGCTATGGAAGGCTTAGATAGACCCCCTTCCCCCGTCCCCTGATGCGATATTAGGGGTATCTCAGGTTCTTCTCCAAGCGAATAAGCACGGTACAGAGCACAGGATACAGGATTGATCATATACAACTACCCATCTTTAAAAGACTCAGGACTCAGACTACCGGCAGGACGTTCCTTTCAGAGTTTTGCAACTCGATTGGTACAGTCTCTGTGTATCGTAGTATATATCATCGCAGTCCAAAAAGGAAAAGAACAGGGCTGAGGATCAGAAAAGAAAGGTGGCGGAAGGGAGAAGTTGGATGCCTTTTTATATCCCGCGGGGGAAAGCGTCACATGCTGCTGACGCTGACTCACGGGGGTAACTACGTACGTTGGTAGTAATGGATACGGACTTCGGAGTACTCTGTACTCTAGAAAGTTACCTAGTAAGAGGTACCCTGGGTAAATTGGAGCAGTTTCTCATCCAGGTAAGTTATCAACGCGGCTTCCGCTTTCTGCTGGGGAGGTAATATGACACTGGGAGCAGTAATTCTAGTACCAGAGGTATTGAATTCCCATAGACAAAGAAGTTAAGTAGAATGAACATGCACAAACCAAATACTAATACAGAGGCCTATCCCGGCAGAGCCCCTACCCAGTACCTCCATCTTTTCAAGCACTCTGTGAAGTGACCTGTCTACTTAAAGCAACCTTTTCCCCCTCCCTCCTGTCCTCCTGCACCGGTGGAACCTGAACCTTTAGCTCAAGTCATGCGGGTAGGAGCCAAATTGGGACCGAACCACTGGATCAAGGAAAAGCCTCAGCTAATCAGCACTCGTCATTCTTTCTTGACCATTCATACCTAATATAGTAGACCTACCGTAGCCTTCTTCTTCACAGATCAACTAACCTGGAGGTGAAGGAAAGATGCACAGGCCTCAAGGAGATCCTGCCAGTTTATTGAAGGCGCGACTGGACGGGCTGGCCAAGATAGCACTCCTCCCTCAGTTTCACTCTGATGGAGACCTTGATTGGACGATATCCAAACAACGAAGCAGTAGAATCATGATTAAAAAGGTTTGTTATTGGTCACCGATTTCTATACAAGATCCGAAGCACTGAAGACAAGACAAACATCCTAAATCACAGCGCCTTGTCACCATCCGAACTCCATCACACCATTGAACATCCGCTGTACACAAAAAGAGAAACGCAAGTGGTATCGAGACAAACGCCGGTCTACGATATAGAACGCATCATGTTGAACATATAGTAAGCCCGAAAAGAAAAAGCGAGAAAGCAGGTGTCATCACAACTCTTCAGACCGGATCTACCGGATGGTCATGGACTTGGTCATCTGCGCCTTGCTGCCAACACCACCTTCGCGGGAAGCCGCGGCGCTGGTTCCCGGCTTGCGCTCGAAGATTTTCCAGAATTTCAAGCTCTCATCGGCGGCCGCGGTGGCGAGGAGTTGACCGTCAGGGCTCAAGCAACTGTGCAGCACACGAGTCTCGTGGGCAGGGATCTCCACATTCCGAACCAGAGTCGGGTAGCTCCAGATGCTGAGGGAGTTATCGGGAAAACCGCTTGAGCTGACAATCTCGCGGTAGTGGTTGCTCCACCGCAAGCTGGTGACCTGGGAGCCAGTGTCAATGCTATTGGTGCGTGCACCGGTGGTGGTGTTCCAGAAGTGGATGTGGCGGTCGTACGAGCCACCACCAGTGGCGAGTAAGTTCAACTGCCAGGGGCACCAACTGAGAGCCTTGACAGCGGCGCGGTGGTTGGTCTTGGTGAACTTGGGGGCACTGAGGGAGCGAGCATCCCAGATGTTGACCAAGTTGTCGTTGCCTCCCGTCGCGAGCTGAGCACCGTCGGGTCTCCACTCTAAGCCACAGACCTCCGAGGTGTGGGAGACCAGCTCGGCAACCTTGTGTTGGGCGATGCGGACATCGTGGTTGAAAACCAAACCACTGCGGGCGCCGGTGGAAAGAGTGTGCTTGGACCATCCCATAACGCCGACGCGGGAGTCGTGGCCGAACATGCTGCGAAGCTTGGTTCCTTCTTCAACATCCCAGATCTGTACTTCGCCGGTACCCAGGCCCACGCCAACGTACGCTCCATCCCCGCTCCACTTGACACTGCTCACATAAGTGTCAGAAGGTGCCTCCAACAAACAACTGACTGTTCCGGAGTCGGCGGACCAAACGTAAACATTACGCTCGAGGCCAATGGCGACCTGGTTGCCAGAGCTCCAGTCCAGAAGGTTAAGATAGTAATCATCAAGCAGACCAGGAGCATCAAGAACACGCTCAGGGGCCGTCTGAACCCTTCTGCGGAATTGGGCGGATTGCGACTTGGCAGACTTAAGAGGACGATTGTACTGAGCGCGCAGATCAATGGGCTTGGAGGATTCAGGAGGCGGAGGCTTAAAAGCCAGAATACGGGTGTTCAAGTTCACTCCGCAAGCATCGGCAAGTGACGATTCGTAGGCAACAGCATCAGGCGCGGGCTTGGTGTAGGAGGTAGTAGACTCGCTGTCGTCGATTCCAAGGCTCTCAAGAGCTGCGGTAAGATCTTCTTCGCTTCCGCGGCCACCGATATCAAAAGCGCTTGCTGCGTTCGCCAGAACAGACGATCCCTCGCTGCTTGTGCTCTTTGGGCGCTGGCTTTCCTCGGGCTTGGCTGTTCCAGCAGTCACAAGTCCTTCGCTAGCCGTGCGGTTGGGAATGAATCGGTCGCCAGCGTTGTGCGCAATACGAACAGTAGTCTTTCCCGACCTCGTCGTCCGGGTCGTCCGGATCTCTTCTTTGCGGGCAACCTTCTCCCGAGAAACTTCCTTGCGGGTGACTTCCTTGCGGGTGACTTCTTTGCGTAGTCGCTCCTTGGACGGAGTCTGTGATGAAGAGGGGCCAGTACCCGTCAAAGCCCACTCAGAGACTCCTAACTCAAGGTGTTTAGGGGACTTGCGAGGACGAGCGCGGGCGATGTTGGACTTGGGAGACTCCCGGTAGCTGCGGGAGGTGGAGAGGTTGGATTTGGGAGATTCGTGGTACTTGCGTGTCGGCTTGGAGACTGACTTGGCAAAGTATGAGGAGAGATTGCCGCCGTAGACAGACTTGCCAAACTCTTTGCCCGTCTCTCCAGCTCCGCATTGGGGAGTGAAAGGGGAGGAGTGGTTCGAGGCCACACTATCGCGTCTGCGCGGAGATGGCGTCAGGGGCATACGACCACCGGCTGTTTTTGTGGAGAAGATCCCATGGTGAGTCTTCACGGGGGTAGATACGGTCGGAGTAGCCATGTGGGTATATAGTTATTGTGCGAACAATGCAACGGGAGACCAGGTCTTCAAGCTCCGGTAGTGACGCCAATTGCAGTCGACTACTTACTGGCTTGGACTGACAGGCTGAAGAGGTCGAAAGTGAAAATGCAGTATAGAATGCAGCAGAATATATAGCAGATAGCAGATACACAAGCAAAACAGGAAGATGAAGAGGGAAGAGGAGAGAGAGAGATTTGAGATTCGAAGAGGAGGATCCAGGGGAGAGGAATAAATAAAGCGTATAGTTCTTCTTTCCCATGGCAACCGCTGGTTACTGGAGGTACGACTGCGCTAGTCCAAATGCGGGGTGGCGAACGCCTGACATGCGGCTTATCCCAATCAGGCATCGACCGGTCTTGCGGTGGCGGTCAGCGTCAACTTTTTCCGTCTCCAGACTTTCTTCGGAACTTTCCGTCTTCATCTTTGGGTGAAAAGTACTTCAACCGAACGGTGCTTGTTTCTCCGACTTATCAACGATGAGATTATGATTCAACCGAGTTGAGTTGACTTGACATTCACCTAGCAGTCAAAATCCCATCACTGCTGCTGAACAGTAGTGCTGTCTCTCACCCGCTCTTATCAGACCGAGGTCTCCCATCCTTATCGGTGCCCCGATGGCGCGGCAACCGTCCTCCACTATCGCTCGGAATAGTAACGCTTCTTCGTCCTCGGGCGACCCACTGCCTTGGCCCCAAATTGCCAGCCAGATGGCTTCCCTTCCACCTACAAGTACTTCTCAGAGATCACAGAATACTTTCCTTATGCCACCGAGTCCGAGTGGTAGTGGTGATCGTCGCGGGAGTGCGGACTACCGCCCGAGCATCCGCAAGGCACTGGGCCATGTGCCGGCGTGCCTGGTCAATGCGTCGGTGACGTATTGCAATAATGACCAGATCTACGCTTTCGGTGGCTTCGACCAGTACACCGATGAAGGTTGTCAATTCCCCATTCCATGTCGGATAGTTTGTGTCTCTATGCTAATCACTAATCCTGGCTGAGGCAGTCTATAACCATGTTCTCCGCTTGAATCTGAGTACACTTCGCTGGGAATTGGTTGATAACTATGGGGATATTCCCGGTGTTCGCATGGGTTAGCTCCCCCGCACTTCGTTGGATGTTTCACAAAACGGCTGTACATACTTATGTTCTTTCATCACACACAGGTCATACGGCTACCCTGTACCAAGGCGACAAGTTGATTGTTTTCGGTGGAGAAAACGAGCACCGCGAGTACCTTTCCGATGTTGTCATTCTCGACATCCCCACCTCGAACTGGACCCAGCCGGAAATCCGTGGACCAATCCCGCGAGGAAGGGCTCGCCATGCTGCGGTGATTTATGACGAGAAGCTATTCATCATTGGGGGCGTGACGGGCGAAAACAACGTCATTCTCGATGAGCTCTGCTACTTGGATCTGAAAACTTGGACCTGGTCTCGTACTTGGGCGTTCACCGCCCGCTTCGACCATACTGCCTGGGTCTGGGGCGGCCGTCTCTGGATCTTTGGAGGCCTGGACCCCAACATGGAACGGACAACGGATATCTGGTGGCTGGACCTCAAAGACATGCAATCTCTTGGAATGGCGACATCGCAAGGTACCGTGGAATCCCCAACGACCGCCAGCAGGATGACTTATAGTCCAGACACTATGTTTAGTAGCCCCCCGCAACAGCTTGCCGGCCGGTCTAGCAACTATGCAGCAAACTCTGGCAGCGTGCAGATCCGGACCCAGTCCAGGACCTCGACTCGACGAAAGCCGAATGCTCCCGGCGCCGTTTCGTGTCTGCGTTTCCAGTCTGGACCCCATGTTCCCGCCCTTTTCTCTGGAACTCACTTTCAGTCGTACGCATCAGGAGTTCTCCTTGACCTAATCACGCCCTCCGAGACCGTCCGCACGTATGAATGCAACCTGTCCTCGTTGGAACTTGACTCGCTGCGCTGGCAGCGACTCGCCGATGGCCAAGAGATCTTCAAGCCTGGATTTAGATGGCACTACTGCACCGTCAATGCCAGCGGTACCAAAGCTTGGCTGCTTGGCTGTAGCCTCGACGCCGGAGCTAACCCAGGGACTAGCGATGAGAACCACATGAGCGAAGTGCTTTGCATCGATCTAGAAAGATACGGTTTGCTGGGCAATGAAATGTCTGCCTTTTCGCCTAATCCAAGCAGAATGCACATGGATGACCAGACCGGACCCATGCCCCTATCTGGTATAGGCCATGATCTCGCCGCCGTGTTCGATCAAACGCCCGAGTCTGGTAGTGGAGCTGACTTTGTCATTACTGCTAACCCCACCGATCACCTCGAAATGGATGATGCTTCGGAAGACAACTCTGATCCACAGGCTGAACCTGCGTTTCTCTCGCCCAACGCGGCCACCTCTCCACCCATTCATGTGCACCGGATCATCTTGCAGCTGCGGTGGCCGCACTTCAAGAGACTCTACTCCGCCCAAATGGCCGAGTACCACTCGAAGCGGATGCACATCCCTGAGCCCTACTCGGTTGTTCGTGCCTTCATATACTACCTGTATACTGATAGCATTGCGGGGCACCCGGAGTATTGTTCTGACATCATCGACGTAGCCGGGATGCTGGTGATGGCTAACCTGTACGACATGCCCAAGCTGCGCCTGCTATGTGTCAACCGCTTGAGTCGAGAGCTCGATGTGGAAAACGCAGCGATCATTTGGGAGCGGGCGGGTCGAACGAACGAGTCATGGCTGATGCGGCGTGCGGCTCAGTTCTGTCTCAGCCACTGGGGTCGCGTTGTCCGTACTGACGGGTTCAAGTCTCTCAGTCGTCAGAGCATCATCGATCTCTGCGAAGTGGTTGATATGGAGGGTCGCATTATCGCGGGGCCGGAATTGGAGCTGGTTGGGTCGTTGGGCGAGGGGCTACACAAGGACCTGAAGCCATCCCAGCTGCTGGGTGGTGGGGTTGCCACTGAGAATGTGGATGATCTCGAAGGTGAAGACATGGACACAATGGATATTATCTAGCATTCAGTTTGGTCGCAGTTCGACAAGGCGTTATGTTATGATCTGGAGGTTCTTTTATCACGATTTACTTCTTGTGACCTATTATTCTATTACTCTTTCAGCTACTTGGCACGGCGCTTGTGATGCGATTGGGATGGAAGGAGCATCTTACTAGGAGTTTTCAGACTGATAGTGATTTTTTTATTGTTACCTAGTATTCAAAAGAGCGATGCATGCTTATTCTGGATGTTTTGGAATGGGGGCGCTTAACCCGATACAATTCGGGGATCGGTCCGTTTAGCCGGAATTCGACCCCGCGTGGGAGAGACACAAGGCAATGTTTGTTCCATTCTTCCAACTTCCAACCTTTCGCTTCTGTCTTTTGTCTCGGCATCATACAGACACAATGCTCTGGTTGGATCAATGCTGAATCCTGCCCGTGCTTCCGGTCACCTTGACCCCTCTCATCATGGGGTGATCCATCTATAAATACGCCCCATGAACTGCGCGGGGAGCTTTTACATTCCAAGCAACGCATCCCACTTCTTCCCCTCCCCCTCTTTATACTTACTTGTACACCACCAAAACAAAACTACCATGGGTTCAGCAGGTGCCTCCACCCTCCCCAAAGATTTCCTTTGGGGCTTCGCCACAGCCAGGTACGTCTGTTTCTTTACCTAAAATTCCCACGAAATGGAATCCAACCAACTAATCGTCGAATTCAGCTACCAAATCGAGGGCGCCGTCGCCGAGGACGGCCGCGGCCCGTCGATCTGGGACACCTTCTGCAAGATCCCCGGCAAAATCGCCGACGGGTCGAACGGCGACGTGGCGTGCGACTCGTACCACCGGGTCGACGAGGACATTGCCTTGCTGAAGCAATGCGGGGCCCAGGCGTATCGATTCTCGATTTCATGGTAAGCCAGCCCTCCTCCCGGCTTCACAACACCTTTACCATCGCTAGCCCGGCGACATCCTCCCACTATCCACTCCACAAACAAAGGCCCCTATTATTCCAAGAGCATGCTCTAAATCACCATCACTCAATTGACAACTTCCCCCCAAAAAAGGTCCCGAATCATCCCCCTCGGCGGCCGCAACGACCCCATCAACCAAAAGGGCATCGACCACTACAGCGCCTTCATCGACCGGCTCCACGCTGCCGGCATCGTCCCGCTGGTGACGCTGTACCACTGGGACCTGCCGGACGAGCTGGACAAGCGGTACGGCGGGTTGCTGAACAAGGAGGAATTCGTGGCGGACTTCACGCACTACGCGCGGGTGCTGTTCGCGGCGTTCGGCAGCCGCGTCAAGCACTGGATCACCTTCAACGAGCCGTGGTGCAGTGCGGTGCTCGGGTACAACGTCGGGCAGTTTGCGCCGGGCCACACGAGCGACCGCTCCAAGAGCAGTGTCGGGGATGGGTCGCGGGAGCCGTGGATCGTCGGGCATAACCTGTTGGTGGCGCATGGGGCGGCGGTGAAGGTGTATCGGGAGGAGTTCAAGGAGAGGGATGGCGGGGAGATCGGGATTACGCTGAACGGTTCGTTTCCATTCTTCCCTTCCCTAATTGTTTGTGAAGGGGTGAGGCGAGGCGAGGTGAAGTGAAGTGAGGCTGATGCAGTGAACCTTGCGGACAGGCGACTGGGCCGAACCCTGGGACCCGGCCAACCCGGCCGACGTCGAGGCGTGCACCCGCAAGATCGAATTCGCCATCTCCTGGTTCGCCGACCCCATCTACCACGGCAAGTACCCGGACAGCATGGTGCAGCAGCTGGGCGACCGGCTCCCCGCCTGGTCCGCCGAGGACCGCGCCCTCGTGCTCGGCAGCAACGACTTCTACGGCATGAACCACTACTGCGCCAACTACATCAAGGCCAAGACCGGCGAGCCCGACCCCACCGACACCGCCGGCAATCTGGAGATCCTGCTGCAGAACAAGGCGGGCGAGTGGATCGGCCCCGAGACCCAGTCGGCGTGGCTGCGTCCGTGTGCCATCGGGTTCCGGAAGCTGCTGAAGTGGCTGAGTGACCGCTACGGGCAGCCGAAGATCTACGTGACGGAGAATGGCACGAGCCTGAAGGGGGAGAACGATCTGCCCGTCGAGCAGTTGCTGCAGGATGAGTTTCGCGTGCAGTATTTCCGGGATTATATCGCCGCCATGGCGGATGCGTACACGCTCGACGGGGTGAATGTGCGCGCGTACATGGCGTGGAGTCTGATGGAGTAAGTTTTATCTGTCTGGTCTGGTAAATTTGGTTTGGGCTTGCTAACTTTGGATGCGCAGTAACTTCGAGTGGGCCGAGGGGTACGAGACTCGATTCGGCGTGACTTATGTGGATTATGAGAATGGGCAGAAGCGCCTCCCGAAAGAGAGTGCTAAGCAGATTGGGAAGATCTTCGAGCAGTATATTGAGAAGGAGTAGCGGATCACCTGAATAGCAGGGTAAGATATAGGTTACTAGTGGTTAACATATGCTGTGCAGCTTTCTGATGGCTGAGAAGTGCTCTCATGTAACTCAATCGAAGAATGAGGATAACTTGCATCGATTATGAACCTGCTTGAGATCAGAAAACCGCACAGGAGGAATCCTACAACCCAGTCAACTAACCTATTACTTACACCAGACTGCTTCCATGAGATCATAATCTGAAAGTAACCCAAGTCTTGAGCATACTTCCAGGGGATCAAATCACACCTCCTCGCGTACACCACCTAAACCTAAGTAACCCACCCCTCCCTCTCAACATCATACCCAATAATCCCGAACTCAATCTTCATCATCTTCAGCATGACTCCCATCGTAAGCTCCTGCCATCGTCAGCATCAGGCATAGCCCCAGCCCAACCAACCAACTCCCCCCGGTTCAACGGCATGAAAAAAAAAAAAAAAAAAAAAAAAAAACCGAAAAAAGAAAATGGGAAACTCACTTGGACGCGTCGAGGGTCTCGTAACTTTCAACGGGAGAGTAA